TCATGTTGCGGCAGAGATTTTTAAAGTGCATACCTATTAATTATTAGTGCATATTGCACATCTGTTTTTTGGAATAAGTTCTTACTTATTTTACATACTCGTATGTGTTCAAAATTAACCTTTTTACGTACAATGACAATTGTAGATTTTTATAAAAAAGAAAATTGTTTTACAATTAATATAAATAATAAATAATACCTGTATACAACAAGAACCAGCACATTTTTACAAACAGTATGTAAGAATTGACTCATTTATTTTTAATACACTTAAAAAAAGAAGCAGGTTATCAATTCGGTTGTATCTATTTTATGTTTTTTATCTCATGACTATGTCAGTAGTAAACCGATTTGGCAAACATCTATTTTTATTTAAAAGGATAAAAAAATATTTTTCATACTTACTTTATTAGTTCCAAAGAAATTTTATCTAAAGCGGTTAATTAGTTTAGTTTTTAAAACAAAATAACTGGTTTTGCCACAATTGAAGTCAGTTTTTTGTAAAACACAATCTTATTATATTTTCTATTTTTGTATGCTAAATTATCGAAATATTTTCTATAGAAAGTGTCACTTATAAGACGTAACGACTCGACGGAACGAAGGTCGACGTAATATTTTTTTTTATACAGGCTAAGATTAATCATGACATAGATCAAAATTAAATTAAATAATTAATTTATACTCTGTTAGTACAGAAAATTCAATTTTTTTTTTTAAAAAAAAAAAAACAAATTCAGTTTCACTGGTTCAACATTCCACTAAAGCGATGCTAATTATTTCAATTTCATGTAGCATATAAAATTTTAAAATCAATAAGTATATCAGACTTACAAATAGTATAAAGTAAATAATAAATAAACAGATGTTGTAGATAGTAACTGAACGCTATAAAGTATGAACTTCAACGTTTACCGTTAAAAGTTTGCGAACACATCCATCAGTGGAAGGAAAAGGGCAACTCGTTCAGTTATTAACAGATTTCATTTGGAAACTTTAGCTTCGGCATCCGACAAGTTGTGTAACAATCCTACTTCAGTTTCCGACTCTTGTAACAATCTAAGCACGTTTTAATTCACAAGTTTTCGGGCTTGATGACTGCACCCTCCAGATGCAGGGGGCGGCGGGAGTATTTCAGGGCCGGGGTGTGGAGACGAATCGTGACGGGAATCGCGAGTGGGACAATAAAAACCTTAGGAGGTGCGGCACTTCTTTCAGGAAATTAGCTGTCACATTAGGTACCTATTACCGCTCGACTCTATTCTGGCGCTGATTAACAGGTAAGGAATTTTCGAACGTACGTATTCTGGACGCACGTTTGGCTAATTGTGACGTTCTTATAAACGTTTACGTTTGTATCTTTATTGGAATGTTCTGCTAATGGCGATTCTGATTGTATGTATTTACTGCCCTATGGTGGTTAGAAACGCTTGGTCGGCTCGGGTGGCACTTGAGTTATACAGGTTTAACTATATACGAGTATTATAGGTTTATGAAATCCCGCTAATATTTAATACAGAGTGTAGTTTATAAGCAAGCTGAAGTGGCAATGGATTGAGCACATCTTTAAGAACCGATAATCCATGGGGAAGAAAGTTTCTAGAGTGACGACTAGAAGGAACAACGACTTGTAAGGAGTCAATGCACTTGGCTCGGGACTGTTCCTTATGACAGTTTATAGGGGTAGCCTATATCCAGCAGTGGATAGTTAACAGTTGATGTGATCACGATGATAGTTTATAAGCGACAGGAATTAATACGATCATTTAGGTAAAATATAATTATTTACCTAAAGAAATTATGAAATATGTAAATTTTCTTTTCGTTTAAATTTTGTACACTCTGTGGGTAGAATGCAGCATGTACTTTTATTATTTCTATATTGTAACATTATAATAATCCGTATTTCTTACAAATAAAATATTTTATTTGATTGATTTAAATAACCTAGGGTAGTATAGCGTAGCGGTATAGTTTACTTAAATAATCATGTGAATTCATGTCTCCTAAATGTCTCCTAAAAATCATACAAATTTTCTTGTAAGTATATTTACATAAAAAATACAGTTATTACCCTACGTAAGAGTGACGCAATAAGCAATTCCTACGAAAAAGGCGAATTGTTAACTTTCTGTTAACTTAATAAGGTCTATAATTCAATGTTGTAATTAAACGAAATTGCAAAAAATATACCTCGTCATTACCCGGTCCCAAGTAAATTAAGTTTACGCGGGTTAATTATGAGTAATAACTTGTTTCTAGCAGTAATACTTCAATATTCCGTTTACCCGCTTGCTGCCCTAAAATTTTATTTTTATGCTAGCTTATAGTTGAAACTAAACCTCTTCAATAAGATTGCTTTACGGAAAACTTCAGGCAACGTTTTCGAACGAGGATAAAGTAACAGCTGCATTTTTAATTAAGGAATTGTTTTTCCAAATTTAAAAACAGGCAGTAAATATATGTAATAATTATTATCCTTTTAAGAGAACATTCTAGTGATACTGAAGGTTTTTCCCAAAAATATATAAAAAAAAAATTGAGTCTCCTATACTAACTTCATTTCATGAAATAATATTTTCACTCAATATTTTACTCTTTAATGCAATGTGTGTTGACAGAACACTTCTTCAATATAAAAGTGCATTTTGTTTAAAAAAAAATTAAAAACATGGCGGGCACCGTTTAAAGCAAGCTACATTGAGAGCTGTGGACGTCCAGACATAAAAAGACTCTGCAATTAAAACCGCTGACACTTAATTATATTTCAACGTCGAATAAATCTGCATGTCTGATGATATATTATGGTAAAAGCCATCGAATTACTCCAAGTTTCAACTAGTTATATCGCCAGTTTATAGCGCGGTTATGGGGGAAAAGAGGTTACGCCACATGGCTATAAATTAAAGCACGACGTCTTATGATTAAACTGCGGTATTAAAGTGGCACCAATTACTTCTGAGTTTGACTTGTTTGAACTGTATTATTCTGTCGGAGTATTGGCAAATATATTACGTGATTAAGTGGAATGAAAATTAGAAATAAAATACATATAGGTATTATATTTATTTATTATTTTATAAGTAAGCGTCACAAAATAAGAATTCCATTTTTTGACACCATTGCCCTCAAACACTTTCTGTTTTTACCAGCTTATGGTCCACCATTATCTAAAATTCCATACGGCATTAAGCTCGCCGTTTGTATAAATTTTATTGTGCAATAAAGAATAAATAAATAAATAATATTCATAGTTTTAGGAGTAGAATCACGTTATAAAAATTTGCGATCCTATTGCAAACGATATGTAGACTTTGGAAAGGCAAAATCTATTAAGCGCTTTTCGGTGAATTTTATAGGGGAGCAAAAAAGACAATAGAACAAGCAATATGCGTTATAATTAGGCATATTTATATATTGAGTTTATCTAGACATTGATAACGTAAAAAAGGTCATCACCCATTTTGATATCGTCCATATCAGTCGGATATCTATATTGATTTCGATCGAGTTCTTTATTTCAATATTGAATAACTGATATTATATTGTATATCCGTTTTTGCATCAATACATATATTGGAAATTCCTAGTTATAATAGGTAGTAGTAATCTGGTACGTTAAAATAGTAAATATCATATATTTGTATTTTTTTAATATTTTATATGAATACAAAATAACAATAACTTGTTGATTACAAACCAAGGACTGTAATTGGCCATTTTGCGACTTGGCCAAATCTTCGCCGACTTTGTATCAGGCGGACAGTATGTTGGACTGACGTTCAATATATAAAAAATACCCATTTATTTTGATACTAGCTTTTCCCACAACTTTGTTCAAATGGTCGAGATATGTTGAATGGCCAGGATAAATGAGTTAGCACTTTTCTTAGCAAACAAACTCATTTTCACATTTATCCTTATCCTCTGTCCCATTCGTGTTTCAACCGTGAAGCAGTTGTGTTTGCATGGCTGTGTTTCGGTTTGAAGGGTGGGATATGGCGTGAATTTACTGGGTACAGAGGAATAACACCTGAGTCCTCAGAAATGGCAACGCATGGGGGGTATCATGGGCGAAACAGTATACTCTGTTATGTCCATGGTACTGCTCGTGTCTATAGGCGACGGTTACCACTTTCCATCAAGTGGGCCGACAGCTTGTTTGCCATTCTAAGTTGTATAAAAAAAAATATATTAGTAAGGATTTCATAAGAGTCAAACTTTTCATTGTACTGAATATAAATTACAATTAGAGATTTTCTCTTTGTACTTGAATTAGAAAGTAATTGATGAGTCGATATTGTGGCACTAACAAAAATGGAATCTGTGATATTATTATATTATTCAAATTAGAAGTTAAAAGTTAAATATGTCTGGAAAGTTCTAGTTAAAATCAAAGTGATATTTGGGTCATGGATAAATTAAATTAAACTTTATCAATAAATATGTATTACGAAGTGTAATCTTTTAAAGTGTAATTTAAATAAAATTTCTTTTTTTTTTTAAGTAATCATTGTTATTAAAAATCCAACTGGAAACGTTCGTATTATTTATTACAAAATTGAAATTAGTACTAATTGCATAAAAGACATTTTTTACTTTTCTTATGGAATTTTTTAGTTTAATATATCTCGAAATTCAAGATTATAGATATACTTGTATTTGACAAGAAATATAAAAATTAATTAATAAATAATTAATTTAAATTATAATTTAGTATTTAAAAAAATATTTGTAATTTTACTTAAAAAAATACATAAGTATAAGAGCCCAGTATTTATGAATTAAAAAAAGAAATCGTATATACTTTTACTAACAAATAACATATTAAGCCTTGTATGACAAAAAAATTTGATATGAATCATTAAATAGGCTCTTGCCACATATAAATATATCACTATTTTGTTTAGTAGTATTAGTCAGTAGTCTGATTGACTGATTTATTATTGCATCAGTAGTAGTATATCAGTATTTAGCTGGAGGACATCTTGAGGTACTCACCGTGAATATTCTATGACTGCGGCTATAACTAGATGTCATTGTGTCCTGTGAACAAAGAAATAGAGACTTTATTATTTAGCATTTATGACTTATTTACGTGTGACGACGAAGTGACAATACAATGTGTCACTTAGGTATTTTAATTTAAAATATAGCGCAAGAGGTGACACAAAGATGGATGGAAAATCCTACTATTACTAATACTAATATATATTTATTTCCCTCACAAAATAACAACATAATAGAATTTACAGCTATATAGGTTACAATTTAAAAACTATCTTTGTGAGAGACTGGAGTCGGTACTAGGATAACCCGTCTTACAGATCACAAGGCTCCCAAATTCAAGGACATCTATTTCACTTGATTTGTAAAGGTAAGAGTAATCCAAAAGGTATATAGCTATCTCTCATGTAGAGAGATATAACAGAGAGATTTTAATAATTTCTTCAGGATGATGACGATGATACCATTTGATTGATGTACCAGTGTGTTATCCAAATAATTATAATAGAATTTTATTTTACTGATAATATGGAAACTTTTTTAAAAGAACGTCAAAATATGAAAATTTTTTTTATCCTCTTCCCGATGCATTTTCCAGTAGTCAAATAAATATGGGGGATTCTTAATATTTTTTTTTTTTACAAAGCATATTTCTTTAGAAAGGAATGATATTAAAAAGAATCATCACTGATTCTTCTCTTTCTATTTTGATAATACAAATATTATTAGTATTAGTGAAATCATTAGCATTGTTAACCAATCATTTCAATTTTACCCTATAGCTCCTATCATTATCAAATCAGCCATTACCCGGCCTCGTAGCGCGTATAGGTCCACAATAATGTTACCACCAAATTCTTTCGATTTTGCCTCACCTTTGTAATATCTATATTTGCACAATTAACAATTTAATTGTATAAATGACCATTACAAAAACAACGGCAATATATAATAACTGGAGGCACTGACTGTAAGCTGGTCGCCAACATCCAACTTCCTCAATATATCAAAACGCAACGAACAACTATAATTATAGGGTCAGGAAGTGGCTTCCACAAAATTCTAACTACCGGCTTTCCGAAAGGTTCACTCGTTACGTACAACTGCCCGTTAGGGAATTTCTGGATTTTAAAGGCCCTTTTTGGTATGATAACGTTGTTATTTATACGGGAGCGGAATTAAATGGTAGGTAAGTATTGGAGATATTTATGGCGAATTACATAGGTATGATTTTATGATGAAATTCTATTCAGAAGGCGTTGTTATTCCTCATTGCTAATGTTTTTGTGTAACTTTATCACAAACTAGTCATCCGGCCCAGCTTTGCTTAGGTAGATAGAATTTTCGAAAATAATATGTATATAGCACTAATAATGTAGCCATTCTATATGTGAATTTTTTTTAAAATGAGTTATGTAGCTTTTGAGTTTAATGAAACAAACCAAAACAAATAATACATTTCTATAAAAATAAAAAATAGATAAGTTTCGAAAAAATATTATATATTAAAATATTTCCTATGTACAGATAGTATTTTTTTTATAGTAGAATTTCAATACAGAACGTTAAAACACAAAAGAATTTCATCTGTAGGAAACTTATTCAGTATTAACGAGTTTATTGTGTGTTTGACAGCGTTCACAGAGATGGCTGCGGACGCGTGCCCTTTACAAATCGACTTTACGCATGATTTGCTCTTGTCTGTACCACATTCTCAATCGTCGGAGTTTGACGCTTAATTTGTGGAAATTATTCTATACACAACATTGTTTAGTTCAAAATTAAATTCTAGAAGACTCTATTTCACTTTATTAGTTTCGGAATGAAATCTTCCAGCTTTGTTTGAGCGTATTAAGACTGAAAGTATCTTTAGTTTATTTTAAGACACGGTTCATCTGTGTGCAAAATTTCAATTAAACCCATTCAGCCGTTTAAGCCGTAATAAATATAAACTTTTACAATAATAATATTATCAAAAAGATAGTACAATTGAGAAAGTTATTAAGTTTGATAGTAAATCAAAATTTATTCAATTAAAATTTGTTACGACCAAGTTCATGATGATATATTTTAGAATGTGGTGCTTATATGTACGACATGATCTTGAAGTGTTTTTTTTAATGGGGAAAACGGAATAGTGACGCCACTTGCGCTATCGGTATACGCTGGCGGGGAATCAGCGAGAGATGTTAAGTAAAGGTGAATGAAAGTATAGTAAGTCAGCCTATCGTAACGAATTCAACAAGAATTAATCACGATGATTTTAAAGGGGTATCGTGTGAAGGATGACTTGACAGCATATTGTTAGCGATGAGGCATCCAGAAGGAGTCGCCTACATACATTCAAAATCCAAGTATACGAAGTTGCGGGTTGATACTAGTATTGGATATAACTGTAGAAGATGGAAAGTCGAGGATGGATTGATTTTGGAAGTAAACTTCCAAAATCTAAGCGTAAGAAGTTCCAGGCAGAAGTTAGTAACAGATATAACTGTAGAAGAGGAGAGAGTTGAAGTCTTTGCTTACAAAATAACAGATACAAGTGTAGAAAACGAGAAAGCCGAGGTTACTATCAAAATTCCCGCGTACGATGTTGCACGCAGAATCTCGTAACAGATAAGTGTAGAAGACGGGAGAGCTGACGCTATTTGCAGTAAATAAGGATATCGGTTTAGCGTCATTATCCCGGCGGGCCGCGATACAGCGGGCCTCGTAAACGCGCCTCGAGTTAATGAGTTATACTCGCCCTGGCCTGTTGTGTTACACTGCGGCTTTCTTAGAAACCGATTTATTGCGCCAGCCACTTCGGTCTAGCGCGGCGATACATCTACTTTGAATTATTTAGGTGCTATGAGCAGAGCGTTATTATTCCTAGTAACACTGCCATAATTTGCTATAAGTATCGCAGTTAGCTATTGCTGGGAAGATATTTCTTTTCGAATTCAGTTTGTTTTTCAATAGTCGTATTATGTACGTGGTAAGTGCCATTTTGCAGTGAAGTGTATTCAAATTCTGTTTTTTTTTTTTTTTTTTTTATTACGCTGCTCTCTGCTAAGCTTAATTTAGACATTGAGGGAATATTTTTTGTAGTCATTAAAAACAATTATTTTCAATCACTCGATGTGTTCACTTTCAGCAGACTTCTGCTATAGTAGCTGTGAATTTTAATTATTGACTTTATTACGTACCAATGTATTTTTAATATACAGTTACTAATTTGTAACCAATAATTATCAAATAAACCGTATTTCATCTGAGAAAGATGTTAAGAGTATTCCGAAATATCGTATATGTATGGGAAGTTATGAAAACGAATGATGTAAGAGATATGTAAGAATACTGAGCTTTGGGACTCGGCTTTCTTTTTTTTTTTATACAACTTAGAATGGCAAACAAGCTGACGGCCCACTTGATGGAAAGTGGTAACCGTCGCCTATAGACACGAGCAGTACCATGGACATAACAGAGTATACTGTTTCGCCTATGATACCCCCCATGCGTTGCCATTCCTGAGGACTTAGGTGTTATTTCTCTGTACTCTGTAAATTCACGCCATATCCCACCCTTCAAACCGAAATACAGCTATGCAAACACAACTGCGTTACGGTAGAAACACGAATGGGACAGAGATACCCAAGCAAACGACTTTTGTACAAAGTCTCTCTCTTATTTATTCTTTATTGACCACATTACAAAAAAGAATGTCTGGTACAAAAGGCGGACTTAATACTATACCATATAGCATTCTCTTCCAGTCAACCTTTCTTACTTTTCTCTTTCCTGAAGGAATTTCAACATTCGATGCAGATTAATAAAATATACTTATTATTATTATATTAACACTTTTTAACAAGTTATTTACATTTTACCGCAGAAGGGTGGTTAAAATACATTTTGCGTTTTTCTAAACACATTTCGTTGGGACATATACCTACTAGTTTATACCGTGCGTGGTTAAATAGAAGGCGTTTGACGTTGTCCCCTCTAGACTTGGGACAAAGGAGGGACGTCCGAGATGGTTTCTAATTACGACACAGACCGTTATGCAAATCGTGGGTCGAGGCGGCGAGGTCTTTGTCTCTAATAAACATGCGCGGCTCTTGCGGTCACACCGCCAAATTGCTCGCCTTCCATTCGCTCGACGAGCAATAAAACCACTTGGACTGTAGTGGCCTCTCTGCACAATTACTGCTCTTTGAATGCATCTGCATTTTTGAAACGAGACCGAGTGTCAATGACGTGGAAGTATTTTCGAACAGTTTACTTTTAAATTTCGAACCTGAAAGTGGATTATATTATGCCAGTATTTATGTTGACTTAAAAGCTCTCGGTCCGGACGGGCACGAGTCAACCTACCTATTTAGTTGGTGGATGCGTTCCGGCAAATTGAACGGCGGCATGGTCTTAGGAAATCGCCAGGTCGTGCCGTGACTTCGCCCGTTTAGAAACTGGGCTAAAAGCGTCGCTTAGCCGCCTCCATTTGGCGGGTAATTTTTCACAGAATGCTGTCTCGCGGGCCGGTAGCGGACAGGCTGTCGATTTAACGAGTTTGTAGCTGTATACAGTTTTAAAAGTAAATTCGAATTTTTTCGACGAATTTTCTACTTTTATCTGTACTTCGCGTTTGTGTGACTAAATTTAAAAGCGACAGAATTGCAACTACAAACACTCAGTTGGAAAAATATACATTTTTCACACGGATTGCAATATTTCCGTTTGTGTTCCGAACAATCGATGTGCCTTTTGCTCTTCTATACGGACGGCACAAAGGATTCGCCTAAGCGACACGGCGGTGGCGGGTTATTCGCGCGTATATAGGAATCGTTGCATTTCGTTGCGCGTTTGCAAGGGAAGTCGTTACCGGTGTCGTGATCGCGAGCAAAAAGTATAAACAGCTCCATCTACCTTTATAAATGCACAAAGTACGGTGTGTTCCGTGTTTGCAGGACAATGGTTCGCAACTTTAACTGCAAGGGTTTAAGGTGTTTTTTGGAACTTTCTGCAGAGTACTTTTTATGTTAGATTTTAAAAATCGAATGTCGAAGTAAACTATTTAAATATTTGTATGTATGTGAGCGTGTTATGTAAAAAACTTTAAGTCGCATTAGTTGTGAATAAAATATCATCTTTTTAGCCCGCTTCACAAAGATGTTCTAAATTAGAATTTTTACTTAGTGTTTTCTTGTAGGAAATTTTTTATTATTGAGATGCAATCAACTTATTGAATTATTATTAACAACTTATTATTATCAATTGATCAACTCGCGTGATTTGTTTACTGACGTGGTAGTACCATACTAACTAGTCACGATTGAAGTTTTTTTTGCGCGTAATAAATATGGTGGTAAACTTTATTCATTTCAAAATAATTAATTGGCGTCATATTGTCGATTCAGCTGTGACAATGTAATCGACTAACACAACCACAAACTGAAATACGGACAAGAATCTCCCTTTATAAGCCGCAAAAATATAATATATTTTTTTAATTCTAAGTATTTTGACTCAATGGATATTTATGTCAGTTTACTGTTAACTATGTGTTGCTATTGTCTGGCTAAAATACAGTAGAATTATTATTTTTAAATAGTATATATATATATATATATATATATATATATATATATATATATATATATATATATATATATATAATTATTATTCTTTATTGCACTTGAACAATAGATACAGCGATTAGTTTAACAACTTGTTAGCAAGAGAGGTGTATGTACCCTACCTCCTACATGCTTGAATCTAACCCTTTAGCAATCGTATGATTTATTTGTTTTATATTAAATGTCATTAAATAAATTTGTTCTAAATTGTTTTTGAAAGCGTGTACTCTCAATTCGCTACTTCGTGAAATGTTCTGAATTTCAACGCGAACCTCAAAAGTTTTTTAATATAAATTATACACGATAAACATGTAACTTATGTAGCCATGTAGGTTTTTAATAGCAAGTATTGTTTATATTTCCAGAGGCCGAGTTTTAAGAATAAAGGTTCTTGGTCTTGTCAACTTGAATACTATACAATTAATTGGGGATATACGAGTATACCAACGTATAATGTTTAATTAAATTTCTGTTATCCAAGTAAATAAGTCACATAAAAAATTAATACTTACTTATAAGTATACATTTATGTACTTTTTAGGTATTAAAATATTTTTAATAAGATTGATGTTCACTTAGGTTTTCTTTATCTACGAGTATATCACACAACCACAACAATAAATAATATCCGAAGTATAATACTAAAAAACAAATATATAATAGCAATGTCTTGATAATGTTTATCGATAAATTAGTCATGCATTATAAGTTCTTTGTCACGTGCAAATAAAAGATGGCGTTATGAATCTTTGTTATCAATACATAGTATACAATATTTTCAATAGGTCTCCCGTCGCCTCCGTGGCGCAATCGGTTAGCGCGTTCGGCTGTTAACCGAAAGGTTGGTGGTTCAAGCCCACCCGGGGGCGTTCTTTTTGTGATGATTACAGGTGGCTATAATTAAATACTTCCATTTACACTTAAATTTTACGAATAATTTATGTACAATAATTATTAATCTTATTATGCTTTCATTAAATGGAATGAAAATGTTAAGATAATATTTGAGTTTATGTGGCGCACAGAATAAAAAAAAAAAAAAAATAAAAAAAAATAGATATATAATGTACTTCAAAGTAAAATTACACATACATACGTATGTACTTCTATTTTGCAATTCAATTTACGTCTTTACACGAATATAAATATATTAAATAGGTGTTTATATATGTTAAGTTTATTCTTTTTTATCTAATGTAATTAAAAAGACTTGCTGGCCATTCATACATAAGAAAAAAATAAATAAATAAGCAAATAGGCGACGAATTTAATTTGTAACAAGAAATTGAAAATAAAGTTTATAACTTTAGAAGTATTACCCGATTTCTAATCAATAATTAATACTGACGTCAATTATAGACTTTGTTTGTAAATTAATGGTTAACTCTCTAAAATTGATATCAAATTCTGTTAATGACAATTTCGTAATTGCGTGCTCGGCCTGTTCGAGCAGGCGTTTCCTTTTTTATTATTGTCCTACCGTCCACTGTTGTATTTCTGGCACGGGGCCATCTTGTTTTCACTTGGATAGTTGTAACACCATTCAGAACATTATTGTTAACATTTATTTCTAATAAAACGCATTTTGATCAACCAGAGTTTATTCTAAAATAAATTTCATTGTGTCCACGACGAGACATAGTAAATTGGCGACCGTGACAGGACCGCATCAAAATATACGGTCTGGAATTATATATCTACCGAAATTCATCATTGGAAGAAGCAAGTCGACGATTATATCCACCTGGTCATCAACAAGAACAATATAGTTGTCGTGTACGTGCTATCCCTATTGTTAATCAGTAGCAGACCTCGTGATATTCAAGAAGCAAAAGTACAAAAAACTCATAGTAAGAGACTACTATATATCGCTGAGCAGTGACGCATCAAAAGCATCACCTCGCAACATATTTATTCAGATAAGTCTCCTAAATATTCCTAACTAATAATTTCTTATATTTATAAAACCTAAAGTACATAATATATATTAAATTTCAGTATTGTTCTGCTTGTGCAAATCTACCTACGATAAAAATATTAGAATAAAAATATACTCCCTCTTACTAGAATCTGAGTCGTATTGTATGTATATTGTTTTTCATTTATTTTGAACTATTATAAATTATCATAATTCAATCAATCGTTATATTGATGAGAAAAGGGGAAGGTTTTTTCAAGTTAATGTACATACGCATTATATTAATGTCAACTCCTACCCACCCTTAAACAGATTAGTTTTTCATTTATTTTACTTTTATTTATATAAAATAACGAGTGTATATACTTGTATTATACACATTAAAAACATTATAGTTATGATAACGAAACGAACGTCATCACTTTACTCCAATTAAGACCCGTTGCCGACTATTTTCAGGTTGCTGCCTGTATCTATTGCTGTTCGACAGCTGATTATATTGCTATTGCTGTTATCATCACAGCCATCTGCCTGCACCTGGATATCGCCTGACGAGGAGCGTGAGCTTACCCATTTATTATATTTATAACTTTTTTCTAACATTTAACAAATTCAATTTGCAATCAGTGAAGGCTTCTTGTAATTCATTTGTAAGTTTCCTATCTTCACGATAAGTCCTTTACGGAGTTATCAGAAGTATTAGGATAGTAATAAGGTTAATATATTACGTAGTTTGTTATTTTATTATTATTTTTTTTACACACTGCTTTGGGTTTATTATATTACACATATATTAATAATAGAAAATTAACTAAAATAATAATCAATAGCATTTTCTGTTTTTATGTAAATTGCATGGAGTCTACCTACATGTAATTTATATAAATATATTTTTGTACAAACATATACATTGTAAAAACTTAATTTAACCCTTTGTCTCAGGTATATAATTGCGTAGAATATTAACTAAATTTATTTAACTAATTTTTAATAAACAAAATGACTGATCCACGAGCTTCATCTACAAGTATGTACAAAAATACTGATTATAAAGATCTAAGTATTAAACGCAGTTCTATTAAAGGACAAATTACTAAATTTAAGAATTATTTAGATAAGATTACAAGACAGCCTAAACTGACGAATATTGAAATAACCGAGTTATCATTAAAAATTACTAAATTTGAAAGCCTCTCAGCTAGATATGATGAATTGCAAACTCAAATAGAATTGGTAAATAATGAACATTTAGAATCTGAAATTGATGAGCGTGAACGCATTGAGCATGAGTTCATATCATGTTTAGCTACAGCAAAAAATGTTGTCGACGAGCAAAATCAAATAAAAAGTGTAGAACATGATAAGACACGACGCGAATCTCTTTTTCAAGAAGCTCAATGCAGTCTCGATCATAATGAGTGTCGTGTTAAATTACCTCAAATCAATATTGAAAGGTACAACGGATCGGTTTTTCGTTGGCTTGAGTTCAGAGACACATATACTAGCTTAATTCATAATAATGAGCACATCCCACCAATACAAAAATTTCACTACTTAATTTCATATCTAGAAGGTGATGCTGCTCGTGTTATTTCTAATATTGAAGTGTCATCGTCTAACTATAACAGTGCATGGCAATTACTTTATGATCGTTATAACAACAAGCGTCTACTCATAAATCACCATTTAAAATCTTTATTTAATGTCCAACAAGCCACTCGCGAAACTGAAGATTCTTTGCGCTATTTAGTTGACCACATAACCAAAAATCTACGTGCTCTCTCTAGCTTAGGTCAACCAACAGACCATTGGGATACCATTATTATTTTTATTATTACATCTAAGCTTGATAATCGTACACTTCTGAAGTGGGAAGAGCAACGTAATATTATAGATGAATTACCAAATTTAGAACAATTCAAGAAATTTTTAATTGATCGAGCATTTGTTCTCGAATCTATGCGTCGCAATAGATCTGACACTAATAATTTATTATCAGGTAATTCATCAACTTATAAGCATAATAATAATAAACACGCAATCAATACAAAGTCATTTGCTACTACTAGTCAAAATAAAGTATGGCTATGTATTATTTGTAATCAGAATCACAAAATTTATGACTGTCCAATTTTTAAGTCTAAATCCATTAAAGATAAGTTAATTGAAGTTTCTAAATATAAATTATGTCCTAATTGTTTACGGCAAGGTCACCCTGTTAATGAATGTCGCATGGGTCCCTGTAAGCAATGCAAAAAACCTCACAATACTTTATTGCATTCAATTGACAATACAAAAGTCAATAATGCGCAAATACGTGAAGAAAATTCAATGGTTAATTTCTCTAAAGAAGTTAATCGACAAGTTCTTTTATCGACTGCTCTAATTGAAGTTTTGAATCCAATAACCAAAGAGGCAACCAAAGTGCGTGCCTTATTGGATTCAGGCAGTCAATCATCATTTATTACAAAAAAACTACATAAAAAATTATCACTAAATTCAACTCCTATTTCCATGAATGTTATTGGCATTGGCCATAATGCTACCAATAATATAACTGAAAGTTCTATGGTACAAATACAATCTCTAAATAATAAAAGTAAATTTAAATTAAATTGCTTCGTTCTTGATAGACTTACAGGAAGTTTACCACAATTTTGTGTAAATTTAAATTTACCCAAACAGATTATGTTAGCGGACCCAACATTTGACCAACCAGGTCCTATCGATATGTTGATAGGTGCTGACCTCTTTTGGGACATTATACTATCTGAGCAGACTTCCTTAGGTCCAAACAAACCAAAACTTCGTAATTCTGTATTTGGCTGGCTGATCGGCGGTCCCATAAATACATGTAAAAATAATGATATTCATTGTAATAATATAATTGTCAATGCACCTTTATCTAAAGAATCGAATGTTGACGCCCTTCTTACTAAATTCTGGGAACTAGAAGAGCTTCCTCAAAAAACTATTTTAAATCCAATAGAATTAGCTTGCGAAAATCACTTTCGTACACATGCACATCGTCTTGAAACAGGTAGGTTTTCCGTAAGTTTGCCACTTCGAGACTCACCAAATTGCTTGGGTGATTCTTATACTCTTGCTAAAAAACGTTTCACTAATCTTGAGAAGCGTTTTCGAAAGAATCATACATTGAAAATGGAATATATTAAATTCATGACCGAGTATGAAAATTTGGGTCACCTTTCAGAATCTCCTATTAGATTGCCAAATCCATCATACTTTTTATGTCATCATGCGATTTTTAAAATAGAAAGTGAATCGACTAAAATAAGAGTTGTTTTTGATGGTTCCGCACCTTCGTCCTCTGGTTTCTCAGTTAACGATTTGCAGATGATTGGCCCAAATGTACAGGATTCTCTCTTCTCCATTTTAATTCGTGCCCGACAATATAAATATCTACTTACCGGGGATGTAGAAAAAATGTATCGACAGGTTGAAGTCAATCCGGATGACAGAAACCTGCAGTTGATATTATGGAGAGAAGACGAGTCTTTACCTATCAAAACAATGCAACTAAATACTGTCACTTACGGTACAGCAAGTGCCAGTTATTTAAGCACGCGATGCTTGTGGCAAGTTGGTGATGAGTGTACTGATGAATTAATAAAAACTATTATTCAAAAGGACTTTTATGTAGACGATCTAATTACGGGTTCAAATGACGAGATGGAATTACAATACATCCAAAATTCAGTGGCTACAGAATTGAATAAAGGATGTTTTAATTTACGTAAATACAAATCTAATTTACCCAATATTATTCAAAATTCTTCCAACATTGCTTCTCAGGGTAACCTGATTATTAGTGAATCCTCAAGTACTCTTGGTCTAGGGTGGAATCCTAATAGCGATACATTACATTTTCCTATAAATATACCAATTCCAAGCGAAACCATAACAAAAAGATTTATTATGTCTAATGCTTTTAAGATTTTCGATCCTTTGGGTCTGTTGAGTCCTTGTATAATGCAGCCAAAACTTATGCTTCAAAAGCTATGGCAGCTTAAAGTTGGTTGGGACGAACCCGTACCTGACAACATTGAGCAAGCGTGGCAGGATTTTGCCAATGGATTACCAGTTCTGTCCAATTTACAAATTCCTAGATTCGTTGCATGTGTTTCGCCAAAATTCATAGAAATTCACTCTTTCAGTGATGCGTCCCAAGTAGGTTACGGTGCATGTGTATACGTGAAAACTATAGATATCAACGGTGAAATTTTAGTTAAGTTACTTTGTTCAAAATCAAAAGTAGCTCCACTAAAACCTACTTCAATACCTCGCTTGGAGCTTTGTGCGGCACTTCTTGCTGCTCGACTATCCAAAGCAGTAATAGAGTCAATAAGGTATGTTCCTGACCGCATAATCCATTGGTGCGATTCCAGCATCGTATTGGGATGGTTAAAAGGAGATATATCTAAATTAAAAACATTTGTGGCTAATAGAATAGGTGAAATCCAAGAAAACACGCAGTCGTCTTCCTGGCGTTATGTTCCCACTGCAGAGAATCCTGCCGATTTAATTTCACGTGGTGTAAGTGCCGATCAGCTGTGTCATACAGACATGTGGTGGGAAGGGCCCAAATTTCTGCAAAAGAAAGAAGACGAATGGCCAGTTTTAAAACATGATAATTTTAATAATTTACCTGAGCTTAAAGTGGTTGCTACGTCCGTCATTGTAAACAAATCAATAATAGAAATGGAACGGTTTTCAAATCTTAATAGACTGCAAAGATCGGTCGCTTATGTCAATCGCTTTATATACAATATAAAAAACCCCAATATCAAAATATCAGGCCCATTAACTGTTGAAGAGTTGAACAAATCTTTTAACTTTTTATGCACTATATCCCAACAAGAAAGTTTTCCCATTGAACTTAAAGCGTTATCAAATGAAAAATTTTTGAATACGAAATCAAAAATATTATCATTGTCACCGTTTCTTGATAACGATAACTTAATACGAGTGGGTGGGCGTATAGACGCTTCAACCTATCCATATAATAAAAGACATCCAGTTTTATTAGATTCGTCTCATTATTTATGCAAATTGATATTTAGAGCAGAGCACATTCGCAACATGCACGCTGGCCCACAACTGCTTCTAGCCACAGTCAGACAAACTGTTTGGCCCATTAAGGGTAGGTTATTAGCACGAGCAACTGTACGTAAATGTGTACGTTGCCGACGAGTTTTAGGAAAGACGTTATTGCCAAAAATGGGTGATCTACCCTCACAAAGAATTACGCCAGATTTTCCTTTTACATCTGTTGGTATTGACATGGCTGGACCCTTTATTACATTAAATCGAAAGGGACGAGGAGCTAAATTATCTAAGTCTTATTTATGTTTATTTGTATGTCTACGGTACAAATGCGTTCATTTGGAGGCTGTAAGCGACCTCACTAAGGATGCTTTTATTATGACCTTACGTCGGTTTATATGTCGTCGCGGCAAGCCAGCGGAAATATTTTCCGATAACGGTCGTAACTTTGTTGGAGCCGCTAAAGAACTTAATGGTTTTCTAAAGACTAATAATGAAACATTATCTGAGTTTGCAGTTCAGGAAGGCATTAAATTTATTTTTACTCCTTCTTACGCTCCTCATTTTGGTGGTATTTGGGAAGCAGGAATCAAATCTTCCAAACACCTTATACGTCGTGTAATGGGCAATTCTCATTTAACCTTCGAGGAACTTTCGACTCTTTTTGCACAAGTGGAATCTATATTGAATAGTCGTCCATTGTGTCCCTTATCCTCTTCCCCAGACGACTTCCTATTCCTTTCCCCAGGGCACTTTCTGATTGGAAAACCGCTGAATGCTTTGCCATCCCCTTGTCTAGAAGACTATAAGGCAAGTTGCTTGCGTCGCCATGCACGTCTTGAGCAAATAAGACAGCATTTTTGGCGAAGATGGCAACAAGAATACATCTCTGAATTACAAGTACGGACCAAATGGAAACTTGATACAGCCAAAGTAAAGATTGGAGATTTGGTCTTGCTGCGTGAAGATACTCTTCCTCCGTTATGCTGGCGTACTGGTCGAGTAACAAAATTATATCCAGGACCTGATGGAATCTCTCGTGTCGCAGATGTAAATACAAAGACAGGATGTTACCGGCGACCTCTTGTTCGCCTCTGCCCTCTTCTTGCTGATGAAGACTATTAACGATGGAGATGGTTGAAGAGCGAGTCTTCAACGGGGGGAGTTTATGTTAATGACAATTTCGTAATTGCGTGCTCGGCCTGTTCGAGCAGGCGTTTCCTTTTTTATTATTGTCCTACCGTCCACTGTTGTATTTCTGGCACGGGGCCATCTTGTTTTCACTTGGATAGTTGTAACACCATTCAGAACATTATTGTTAACATTTATTTCTAATAAAACGCATTTTGATCAACCAGAGTTTATTCTAAAATAAATTTCATTGTGTCCACGACGAGACAAATTCAATAGATATAGAGTAGAGAATAATTATTATCTAGTGAAATATTAACAAGTTTGAAGCAAATCTGAATAAGTATTCAATGACGTAGATATTACAAGGTTAAACCTACATAATAACAATAAGAAACTAGGCGAAGCAAGGAAAATTTAGGAAAGTAGGAAAAGTGGGCATTAACATCTAGAAAAAAGGGAGATAAAAACTCATAGATTGTAAAAAGAATTATTAAAATTGGCTTCGTATCGGCAATGTGAAAGGATAATAATAAATCAACAAATACTACCTGGCATATAGTCAACTAGTTCCAAATTAAGCAGCAATCTATGAAGCAGAGCTTGTGTTATGGGTACTAGACAACTCACTACGTTACTATGGATCATCTTTCTTAATCAGCCACCATCTATTCCTAAAGCATGCATCCTTTTCCACAAGATTCATTCAATCTTTTCATATTTTTATGAACTGTTACTAGTCCTGTCGTTCGAGGTTTTCTCCTTACACTTTTCTTTGTATCCAGAGGGAGACTTTGTACAAAAGTCCATTGCTTGGGTACCTCTGTCCCATTCGTGTTTCTACCGTGAAGCAGTTGTATTTGCATGGCTGTGTTTCGGTTTGAAGGGTGGGATATGGCGTGAATTTACAGGGTACAGAGGAATAACATCTGAGTCCTCAGGAATGACAACGCATGGGGGGTATCATGGGCAAAACAGTATACTCTGTTATGTCCATGGTACTGCTCATGTCTATAGGCGAGGGTTACCACTTTCCATCAGGTGGGCCGTCAGCTTGTTTGCCATTCTAAGTTGTACAAAAAAAAACAAAGAAATACTTAAGTAATTAAGTTGCACAAAAAAAAATTTGATGAATTTGAGAGACCTTCTATTTTTGGAAATCATTTGAACATGGTGCAATATACGGTTGCCAGATGTGTTTTTTATTCTCCCCAAATTTCCAATAATTTCTCCGAATTGATATAATGTTCATTCATCATTATTAAACAATCATAAAGTTCTGCTTCTTTCGTTTTCTCTATATTTTACCAAGTATATCACTACGTCAGCGAAGAAAAAATACTTCGATAATGTCTGTTTTTATAAAAAATTTCCAAGAAATATCTAAAATTAGCTTTTGTTCGCAACTGCGTACGCGGGGATTTTGAATGTAGGCAAGTACTTCTAGATGGCGTGTCGAGATGAAAGATGCACTACATTTTAAGTTACACTTTTAGGAGCACAACTGCATCTAATTTGGTGCTGCATTTTATTTGGTGCATTAGTTTTTGCGTGACGCTGAAACAAACATATAAAAAAATTTAAAAATTAATCTTTTAGCTTCTATTGCTTAAGACCTCCAATATAAATTTTACTTAAATATCTCACAGATATTGCCTAGATACAGTTTTACCCTGTTATTCAGAAAAAATAAAATGCCACACAAACCTGTTGTAACTATTAGCTTTGCCACTGTCTTTCATATTGAGAAATTAATGCAAAAGAAGAGGAAGAATTAGAACAAAACACTAAAAGGTTTATGAGAGGTTTGACGTTTTAATGAATAAAGCTGTTATTATTGTTATGTTTGGGTACCTCTGTCCCATTCGTGTTTCTACCGTGAAGCAGTTGTGTTTGCATGGCTGTGTTTCGGTTTGAAGGGTGGGATATGGCGTGAATTTACAGGGTACAGAGGAATAACACCTGAGTCCTCAGGAATGGCAATCTGTCATTTCCATGGTACTGCTCATGTTTATAAGACGACGGTTACCACTTTCCTTTAGGTGAGTCGTCAGCCAAAAAAAAATATATACATAAGTGAAATTACGAAAAAAATACCCAATCCGGCAACACTGATGCAACACTATGAAAAACAAAGTGCGGACCGACCGACCGACAATACAACGCGTTCCTCCTCCCCGCGCTTTAATCATATCCTTGCAGCAAACAATACAAATACAGCCGAAACAAATGATCCACGTGATAAATCGTCGGACGTTACAGAAATAACTTTGTTCATTCCCTTCTTTTGTCCGATTGATTGCAGATAATTTCGACTTCCGAAAGAAATAGGATAGAAAATTGCCTTTTGGTAGTGGCTAAGTAGTAACGGTGTGCTATTTCCTTGGCTTCAGTTGTGTGTTCCAACGAAAATCACGGTAATGCATGAAGATTATTTATGAAAGTGTTCTGAAAGGTTTTTTTTCGAGGGCCGTACACGTGATTAGACATTTTCCTATGTGCTCCTATTTGCTCACTAACATTATTATACGGAAAGTCACTGTAATTATTTGTCTGTATTTTCCAGGGAGGAGGCTCAGGACCGTTCCTTATGGCGGTTTATGCAGGTCTATGTTCAACAGTGGACAGGTAATGGCTGATATGATCATGATAATATATATTTTTACATCAAAATGTGACAAAAAATAAGTTTATAATTTACTAGCGATTCGACCCGGCTTTGCTTGGATAGATAGAATTTTTGAAAAGAATATATATATATATATATATATATATATTCTTTTCAAAAATTATATTATTTTATTAATTATATTATTCTTTTTCCTATGTTATTCGCTGATAATGTAGATATCTATAGATGAAAAAAAAAATTTAAATTGGTTAACTAATTTTTGAGTTTACAAATACAAATACAAATGTCTTTATTGTGGATCATAGGTCAAATTAAGGTATTACATCAGTTAAATAATATCTCCATGTCCTGCTATATAAGCGTACAATATATGGAACAGTTAACAGTATATAAAACATAATATTTATCCATTTCTTACAAACAAATACAAATCTTTATTCCTTTTTTTTGGTATTATTTATGAACGAATATATGACATCGTTTTAATTTCGTGTGTACATAAAATTGCAGTCGATAGTTAGAAATATAATTTAAGTCTTAACAATGTACGTATATAAGCTAAGTCACTTATTAATACTTATAAAAATATCAAATCTCTCATAGACTTCTTTTAGGTATTGAACTGTTTTGTTTCTATCTTTGGTTCTAAATTCCTAATTTGAAAGTGACAAAACAGTGTAATAATTAAAATAGGTTTGTAGAAGGTATTAGTTTTTTTAATGAGGGGGTAATTAAATATTTTTACATTAGTTTTTACCCGCGACTTTGTCCACGTGACCTCCATATATTGGTTGACCTGGATAAATAATCCGTACTTATTTTATCATTTACGTTTTACTTCACTCCAAGTGCGTACCAAATTTCATGACAATCTGCTGAGTCATTAAAGTGAGGTAATCAACACACAAACTCACATTCACATTTATAATATTTAAACACACTCACAAATGAAAGTTGCATTTGGTTTTATGTATTTTTTTGCCATTTATGTTATCTCGCTTTTTTTTTGTGTATGTATGTTGAAATTTGTGTGCTGTAAGTAATGCAAATAAAATTATCTAAAATTATCTATCTATCTATCTATCTAAAAGAACAGAGCTCGAAAATGTTACATTATCATCTTTTCAGCCAGAATAAATACATGGGAGAAAAGAAAATCACACAAAAAGATAAATGCGTGAATCATAATACCGCTGTGAGGTAAATTACCGACAATATCAGTGAATATTTCTTCAGAAAAACGAACATCGGTAAAGTCGTACCTAGTGTACTGAGTTTGAAAAATCCTTTTTCTAAACACACGTCAGCGTCTTAAGCTCACCGCACACACGAATGATGGAGTACCAGTCGCTCAAACAGCGTTTGAGGCATTGAAAAATGCACTTCGCTTCCACAAGAGATTATTTCCGTACACTTTTATATTCGGCAGTACTTACATCTTGTATTAATATTATGAAGAGGGGGAATTTGATTGTTTGTTTATAATGTTTTTTTTTTTATGCAACTTAGAATGGCAAACAAGCTGTCTACCCATCTGATGGAAAGTGGTAACTGTCGCCTATAGACATAAGCAGTACTATGGACATAACAGAGCATATTGTTTCGCCCATGATACCCCCCATGTTTTACCATTCCTGAGGACTCGGGTGTTATTTCTCTGTACCCTGTAAAATTCACTGTCATATCCCACCTTTCAAACCGAAACACAGCCATGCAAACACAACTGCTTCACTGTAGAAACACAATTCGGACAGAGGTGCCCAAGTAAACGATTTTTGTACAAAGTCTCCCTTTGGTAGACTTAAAATCTACTCAACCGATTTTAAAAATTCTTTCACCTATAGAAAGCTGTATTATCAGCAAGTAATATTTTTATTGATTTATTAATTAAATTTCCTTGTTTCCATGTCCTTACAGGATACATCCCAATTTGACATGGTACAACAAACAACAATGGTTAGATTCCAGCTCTTGTGAATTTCGTCAGAGAACATATAAAGAGGTCGGTACCTCTATTCGAAATATTATTTAAAAAAACAAGTGCTGTAATAAAATATAGACTGTATATTATTGTCTAAACTTCTATCTACTCGTGTGAAACCGAGCCGTATCACTAGGTGGATAGTACAAAAATAACTAATAGTTACTTAATATTTATATAGGATTGTTAAGCAATCTATCTGTTACTGCTATCTACTCTGTACTAATTGATTTTTAAAGACGATATACGTTCAGAAAATAGACAAAAGCGCTTTAGTGTTATTTCTATGTTTAATTTTTGTTATTCGTTGGAAATAACAGAAATTAGTTGGGGAGTACGATGACGAGAAAGTGGAATGGTTGATGGAAAATGATAATTTTTTCCGAAGCTTGAGCAATAGTAAGGTCATCTAGAATAAATTATACTAACCGTGAGGATACCCCATACATAGCATTTTCCATCTTCTCTCGCTTTGGAGATTGCTTTGGCTAATATAGTTTTCAAACAAAAAATAATCTTAAGTGTTGTAGATGAATGAAAATGTAGACAAATGAATGATTGACCCGATCTAAAGACAGTTTTATTTATTTTCCATTGAAATAAACTATTATATTAAAAAATCTCTTTGAATGTTTCAGTTTTATATA